TTTTTATGGGTGAGACTGTCAAGAAACACTCATCCGGCTACAAACCACTACCACTTCGCGGATGCATTGGCGCTACAAACTACATAAAGGACAGACGAGCATGATCGTTAGTTCGTTCCTCAGGACGCAGGCGAGTCTTGTCGTTAAGCCTAAAATCGTGCCCAGTGAGCACATAAAACGCAGACGAGACGACACGGCTCGGAGGGGAAAACAGGCCATTTTTACAAAGGAAATAGATTCCGGGGGAATGACGTTTAAAGATGGAGTTAAATACAGTTAAATTCGCCAATGGAAAACCTAATTAAGAAAATGCACAGAGTACAAGGATACACCTCATACTATAAGAATAAAGTTTAAAAACCATTTGTCATAACTCCCAAACAAGAAACAACGTTAGTCGGTTGGAATAGAACAACAAATTTGAGAATTTCAAAGAATAACAAAAATATCTCAATTTTGTTGAAAAGAATAATTCTGCCAATGGTTAAGAAAATTGCAGGAGAGGCTTTATCACAAAAAGGTATGAAACTTTTAGAGGGCCAATCTAATAGTGCATGTGCAAAATTTGGTCATGCCACATCTGAAGTATAATGTGTTTGTTAGCCACATGAAACAAACTACTTAATGTAATGTATTATCATTTAGGTTTGGTTCAAATACATTTTTTTCCATTTCTCTGTTGAATGCACAATTAAATAAGCATGTATATAAAAAGCAAATGTACTTTATGATCAAAAATATTCTTACAAGAAAGTAACAAAATTTGAGCAAGAGGTAACTTTAAGAAATATCATTCTTCTTACAGAAAAGTTATTTGCCAAACCTAAAACAATACCAAAAAAAGTTTTAAGTACCTGGGAAAATATTTTCTGGTGTTGTCAGGGCAAAAAATGACTGTACTCGTGGAAGAATGGACTTTTTCTGATACCATCCCAAACATTAGATGCATACAGGAGCCTGTCAACAAAACAAATACTTTTTGGTGAACTGGAAACCAATGTAACTTCAACTAGGTAAAAAACGCATACAATTTCACATACCAATTCTTTTCTGATAGTGGATGGTGTCTTAGAGGTTTTTTAACAACTCCTAAAATATGCTGTCTCATCTTGAGAAGCAGTTCACCATATCCAGGGTGTCCGCAAAACTTATGAATTTCTTCTTCATCTGAAAATCAATAACAATTGAATAAGAAAGAACTGAAAATTTATTACATAAACACATATGAACCTCAATGTTGTAATCTACTTTACCTGTGTCTGGTAAAAGAAATAAATTGATAGCTTCACCACATGATTCTGAATCTACAAAATCAATAATTCCACCCATTCCAACCCCCACTCCACTTTTTAATTCCAGCTTGGATTTAAGAAACGAATCTCTATAAATTGACTGAAAAAAAAATACCATCTGTTTTTTACACAGAATTGATGAACTCAAATATAGGAATATGTATGACAAAGTTGTAGTACTCACTTGCATCATTTTAATATGTTCAGGAGTAAACTCCGATGGCTTGCACTGATTGTGAAGAAGAAATAGATGTGGGAAATACTCAACTAGTGTTTCATCTGCAGCAGTTGTTGGTGTTGGAGGTTTTAACATTTCGGCAGATTGTAATAATCTGTAATGATGTAAAAGAAAATCAACTTCAACAAAATTAAGATACAAAGAGAACCCAGTAGTTGTGACACTGAGTAAACTATAAAAGTGTTGCATAAAGATTAAGAATTGATTACCTTATCATATCTGGATCAAAAAACCAATCTTGTGCTAGGATTACAACATGGCATACAGAGAGTATAAAAGCAGCCATTTGCAGGGAATGTATTTCTAGTGCCCCATCCATATTGGTCAATAAGCCAACATCACCAATACTAGGTCCAGAACTTGAGGACTGAGTGGATGTGCTCTGATATTTCTTTGCACTTGGTGCTGTTGTATTGGCAGATATATCCAAATTTGAAATCCTCTCAAAAACAGATGCTGACATCAAAGGTTGGGTGTCAAGAAGAAGCATACGGTTTGAAGTAACATACAGATCAATTCCTGAAGTACAATGAGATGCTGCCATGGCCTGGTCGTAATCTTGAGGCTTAAAACACATATCCCTAAAAAATATGAATATCAATGAAATTAGATTACAGACTAAGTAATGAATTTAAAAAATGTTGTGGATGATTTTGCTAGGTAAATATGCCTACTTTACAAGTTGACTAGGATTTCCCGATGCTAGTTGAGACATGACAGTAGATTTACCAACAGACTGTTGGCCTAAAATTCCCACAACTAAAAAGTCATTTTGGTCCATAAAATATTCTGTGGGTACTTCACAGAATTGCATAGTTTCATCAACAAGTTTTACGCAAGACTTCATTTTAGGAGAAGGTGCTAAGGGATTAGGTGCTGCAAAAAAATGAAAGAAATACAATGAAACGATAAATATTAGAAAAATTGTGAAATCAACAAAAGAAACAAAGATGTGTAAGCTCTCAGGTATATGGGAGGATTTCCTGGTAATCAGGCACAGCGCAACTTGACAACAGTGGTTATCAGTTGCTTGGCTCAGTTGCTACGCAAGGGGTGATTCAGAAAATCATTACCCAGGCAGCTGTTCTGCATGTGGTCAAGCTACTCAGGGGAATCAGATAACAAGTCCATAAGCTTGAGAGCCATAAGAGCAAAGCTTTTTACCTATCAAAGTCAGCTAGAAAAACACTTCCGATAGCTTTAGCTTGCACAACAAAAGCAGAATTTATACCTGTTAATGTTCGAATATTTGATTTTCAACAAACCTTGTGGGGCAGAATTTTTGTAGGCTAACTGATACGATGGTTGACTTGAAGTGTCAGTGCTTTCTTTCCTGAAACAGATATTAAGCATTCAGTAATTGAGTAAAAATAGCAGTCAGCTTATACAAAAAAAAAAAAAAAAGCTTACTTTAAGACTGTTGGCGTTCTTGTTTGACTAGGAGACACAGCACGGTTTTCACCTTCCCTTGTCCGTAGTATGATAGTAGGAGGTTTTTCATTATCATGATCATTCTTGGTGAGTAAAACATGAGGTCTCCGCCCCATTCCTCCCTCATCCTACAAAAAAAAAAGAAAATTGAAGCAATAGAAGATTAGCCAGTGGGGAACGAACTAACTGTAACAAATTCAGGGAGATTTAAACCTAATGAAATTAGCACCAAAATACAATATGAGAAATGAATAAAAATTTAGGTAAAGGAAAATGTTTTATGGCTAATTGAAAATAGTACACAATGCAGAAACAATAAGAATGATAGGAAATAAGAAGAAGTTGGCAATTTGAGTGGACCAACACAATACCTTCGTCATTTTTCTGTCAGACATTTCCAATCTCTTCTGATGAGAGGAATATTGAACAACTTTTTTACTTGATCGAAAATTAAAACCTAAAATATCTGTAGATTGATCAGGAAAAGAAAGGAGTTGCAACATAGAAGGGTTATGAGGTTACAGTCACCGGTTGTAAACACGAGTATGAGAAATTCTCAAAAGCAAAGAGCACATACCCCGCGCGCTCCAGCAGAACAACCGAAGTATCCCATGCCAAGAACCTGCAGACAGGGGGTATCACCACACGTCAACATGCGTCTTAGGTGGGCTCTACTCCGCGCCCCTATGCAAGGGGTATTGCGGGCCTTCGAGCCAAGACGTTGATGCCTTCGAGAGCGCACCTCTAGCTCCACGCTTTACTCTCACACTCCACCCTCCCAGAAGACAAGGCAATGCGATACCCCATGGCCAAAAATTTTCCGCGGGAAAAGCTGCAGAAAGTCATAGGGAGATACAAATAGAACATGAAAAGAAAAACGCCATCAAATAAAAATCCGTAATACGACTGGGCAAGGCGAATGGGGGGCTGGGGCGCTGCCCAACTTTCTCAGGTGCTAAGAGGGGAGGGCGAAGAGCGAGAGAGGGGAGGTAGGCAAAGAGGCGCTGAGGTCAGATCGCTCTGCCCGCCCGCCCCGACTCACGCACAGCAGTCCGAGGCACAAAACATGGCACCCGGCACCCCCACCCCCCTTGCGATGCAAAAGGCTCGCTTCTGAATTGTAAAGAGGTTCCCTTTCGCAGAAAGGAAGAGGTGCCGGTCGTTGAGGTGGCGGAGGACGGGGTGCAGGGCGGAGAGGGGAAGTGGAAGTGAGGAGAAGGGGGCATCCGTCCCACATCCGGTGGTAGGAAGGGGAGGGGATGGCCGGCGGCACCCCCGCGGGTGGAACGGCGCGCCCCCGCGCCCCCGCGCCCCGCCGCACCGCGCCGACCACACCGCTGTAATTTGTCATATCGCGCCAGAAGTACTTCCTCTCTTCGCCCTTAGCTTCGCCCAGTCAGGGGTCGGGCCGCCGGGGGACGGGGGCTGCTTGGGGGCGCACCCTCCCGAGGGAGAGGGAGGGGGAGCGGGGCCGGCGATGGAGAGCGTCGCAGCGACGCCCCCGGGCGAGAGAAACCGCGGGATAAGGCACGAGAAAGGGAGCGAGGTGCTCACAGAAAACGACAAGTTTATTTACCTCCCCCCACCGCACACACACCCCTCACCCCTCACCCTTTCACACAAGTCGATAACGCCCTGCTCAAATTTCCCGCGCGCGCGTCCGCTGATCGAGCAAGCGGCCGGTTTCTCTCTCTCCCTCTCTCCCTCTCTCTCTCTCTCTCTCTCTCTCTCTCTCTCTCTCTCTGTCTCTCTCTGTCTCTCTCTCTCGCACACGAGCTCGTGTCCCCACGGTATGCATGGGCAGCGCACGCTTCATTAGGGGGCCATTCAATTACGCCCCGATTGTTCAGCGCGCGGCCTAAACAGCGCGAGCACCACTCCTCACTCGCCAGCAGGCGACGCGACGACGACAACACGGCCTCCATGCCGCCGCTGCTGCAACTTGATAGACCTTTGCTTCCGTCCGGATGACGAGGCTGACGACCCCCCCCCC